TAGGACGATTCGCACGACCGTGATGCTTTCCACACAAAAGCACCGCCGCGCGCGACACACCCTGCGGCGGCTTCCCTAAGCAAAGCAACGGGAAGAAAGGTTTGCGGCGTGCGTGACGTGTTAAGACAAGTCAAAACCAGGGTGGCGCTTGAGACCGCCCGCGCTAAAAGAACGCCCGTGCGAAAAGACCGTCTCTCGATATGTAAAGTGTCGCTTCTGACATTCCATATAAAGGATATATGAATCTCTGCTACACCATTTCATTGATGGATCTGATAAAAGAGCTGGTCTAGATGAACATGTGTATTCGTACCCTTGATGGTTTAAAGACAAGGTGTCAAAGTGAAGTTTGTTTGAACATCTGCAACTCTGCAAGTCGTAAAAAGTGAAGGTTGTTTATCGAAGATTAGAGAAGAAAATAAGACGCAAAACAGATATGAAAAGCAAAAGATGCTAAAACTCTGATAAAAACGCAGCAGTGAGTTTGAATCCTTCATTTGGCGACATTTCAAAATGTAGGTTTACTCTTCAGAACCACCAATCCGCAACACTTTGAAAAACGAGAAAAAGCTCATTGCTTCTTGTGATTGTTTCTTTTTTCTTTCTTTTTTCTTGTGCTTTTGTGTTTGTCGAAATGCACGTCAAAGCCAAATCTAGTTTTTGAGGCGTACATTGAATTTTTACCCCATTGATGTTCCTGTTTCCCGGGTCGTTGCCTGGATAGTTGCGCTTATTGTTCTGAGTGATAATCGCCCAAGCTGGAAAAAACTGCTGTGGAAACACTGAAAGAGAACAAGTTGAAGGAAAACGCACTTTTTTACAGATTCACGAAAAAATTCAGTAATCGAAGAAGTAAGCTCTGAGAGGTTCTCTACGTTATTAACAGAAGCAAGATCTATCTAATTCACGAAAGAACCGCGTGAAAAGAAATGAACTAAAGAAAAACCGAGGGGTTTTTGAAAACACGGTGCCTGATTTTTCGTTCAAACCAAAAAATATGGTTTTGGGACGTTGTCAGCGTGAAAGTAGAGATCAAGAGCTTCATTAGATTTACAGTTTGCTAAACTTGGTTTCAAAACAACGAAGAAAATGGTGCCAGTTCTGGTTCTGAAGAGTAAACCTACATTTTGAAATGTCGCCAAATGAAGGATTCAAACTCACTGCTGCGTTTTTATCAGAGTTTTAGCATCTTTTGCTTTTCATATCTGTTTTGCGTCTTATTTTCTTCTCTAATCTTCGATAAACAACCTTCACTTTTTACGACTTGCAGAGTTGCAGATGTTCAAACAAACTTCACTTTGACACCTTGTCTTTAAACCATCAAGGGTACGAATACACATGTAGTACTCTGCGTTGATACCAATCCATCAATGAAATGGTGTAGCAGAGATTCATATATCCTTTATATGGAATGTCAGAAGCGACACTTTACATATCGGGAGACGGTCTTTTCGCACGGGCGTTCTTTTAGCGCGGGCGGTCTCAAGCGCCACCAGTACTCTGCGTTGATACCACTGCTT